CTCGGCATGCTGTTCCAGTACGAATTAATAGCCACTTCGTTAATTATATATACCATGTGCATATGCATACATGCATATGCATGCATGTGTTTTTTTTACAATAATTAGAACTTATATATTGTTATTTGTAAATTTCTTATTGGTATAACAATGTCTGTCAATTACTTATAGCTAAGAGTTATGTACTATTTAAAGCATGCGTAGGAGTGTTTTATCACATATATGTGATAAAACACGACTACAAGTGCTTTAAATAGCTTCAAAAACGACTCATCTTATACGAGTTCATTGGCGAAGTAATTTTTAAAATAAACTTTGTCTAAACCGAGAAAATCAAAGCTAAAGTTTATGTAAATTAACGCGATTTTTATCACATATAAAACCATGACACGCTTATGATTTTTCTTTGTGTTTTGCTCCTGAATTATTAATGAGTTTTTGAATGATAATTATAGTGTGTGAGTATGTGTTCTGGTCTTATCACACTGTAAAAGGTAGCCCAAAACTTATAAGCCTTTTGGTTTCTTTTGGGTTTCCTTGCCTTATTATAATTTGTTTGTTTAGTTATTATTGTTATTATTTCTGTATGTATTATGGCGAAATAAATTGATTTGATGTCATACACTAAAAATAACTGTATTTTTCTTGTGTTTCCTTTGGTGAATTATTTTTTAACTTTGTGCACTGTACAGCAATCATACAATGTATAAAAGTTGAAAAAAATCGTAGGAGCTGATTTTTTTGAGAATTTAAAAAAATTGGCTCCTATGATTTTTAAGAAAAAAGTCAGTTGAAACAATCATACATAAGATCCATGCGTACAAAAATTAAAACATTTTACTGAAAAGTATGGAAAATACAACCTCTTTGAAATGGCTTTGTTACCATGGCAACAAGAATATTTCATGACATTTTTGGTATATCATAATCTGTGATAATGTACCAATTACATGGCCCAATACACCCTTTTCATAAATGGCCGCCAATTAAAAATTCTTTTATGTGCATATAAATTGGCTCAACTAGCCTCTTTTCTGGGTAGAAATTCCTTTGAAATCTTAACATGAGTATGAGGCTAGTTGGGCCAATTTATATGCACATAAAAGAATTTTTAATCGGCAGCCATTTATGAAAAGGGTGTATTTCATGATAATCGCACATATGAGTAGTAAATAATGGCTTTGTGTACAGATGTTTGCCCAATATATTTAAACTGTAGGGAGCCACCTTAATGTCATAATGTAATGCACTCGTATAGTCTTTTACTGTTAATGTTTGGCAGGCATAATTATCTAAAATAGTACAATTTACTAGATAACATAATGTATTATTTACTCGAAAATCGTACAAGTGTATAACGCTACAATAAATATTTTTACAAACAATATACAAGCTTAGCCATGCAAAATAACCATTTAGGGCTAAACTAGTTGGATATAGCTATTACACAAAAATTTAATATGCAATAATTTGCTGCAGACACTATTAAAAGTTTTCGAACAGTGACAGAAGACAAGACATTAAACACAATTACGATATAATATACTACAAGACACACTTAGGAGTCACATATGCTACTCTAATTTTAATTAATTTAAAGTGATCATAGTGACTAATAATTTGACTTTTAAGTTTCTTCTTAGATTTTTTACATTAAGACTTTTTAGAGACTCTTCAATTGAATTCCCAATTTTTGGTCCACTAAATCTAATATTAAAAATTCCATAATTGGTACGGGGTAAAGGTAGCACATATGTTATTACTTTTGACGCCAACCTGGTATAATGTACATGGATATATTTAATTTCACTGAAAAAGTGGTCAAAATCAACTGGAGCAAGCCATCAGAATAACAAAGCTAACTTCCGAAGGTGATTCTTGTGACTTACAACAAGCTCTATCTAATTTGTTGACCTGGAGTAGCAACAACAACATTTCTTTTAATGAGTCGAAATGCAAGACGATGACGGTTACTAGGAAGAAACAACCTATCCCCATTATCTATCATCTTGACCTGTTTCCTATCAATAAAGTACAAGAAGAAAAAGATCTCGGTGTACTAATGACCAGTAACCTATCATGGGATTCCCACATCCAAAGAATATCTGCGAAAGCTAATAGAATGCTCGGGCTACTGAAAAGAACCTGCCCTCTCTTGACTCAAGTGCATGTCAGGAGAACTCTGCATTTGGCCCTTGTCAAATCACAAGTATGCTACGCAAGTGAAGTCTGGTCTCCTCACCAAAGTAACCTGAAAATCAAATTAGAGCAAATACAAAGGCGTGCTACTAGATGGATCCTGAAGGTAAATGTGGGAGATGTTCCGTATCGAGACAGGTTATCTGTTCTAAATATGTTACCTTTATGTTATGATCGAGAAATAAGAGACTTGATGTTCTTCTA